TCTGTCCATCCGTTCTAGCTGCCAGTTTCTGACAACTTGGAATCAGCTGAGTGCATCCCTAACTACAACGACAACTATGTTCATGGAGCCGAACAGAACCTGCGTCCGCAGTGACGAGTGTTCGCGTAATGGCTTATGTAATCTTCACCTATCCAAAATATCCTCGTGAATTTAACGCGTTGCTATGTATTATGCACAAGGCGAGCTGATCTCTATTCCAGTGGTGCTCGCGAATCTCTGCAGAGGCCTATTCTCCGCGGCTGTCAAACTCAACTGGAGCTTTGGTTCCTCGTGTTCAGCTTGTCATAATGCATGGGCTGACTTTGTATTGCCCATTCACGCTGCACAGATTGTTGAGGGAGGAGACTCTCACGGACAATCTATAAAGCTGCCAGCGTACGCTGCATCAACCCAAACACGAGCATCCCCGCTTTCTACAGTCCGCACAAGTTCAACGCTCCTGACCATTCAATCTACAATGTCGACGAACGATGGTGCGCCTAGCCAAGCCATTTCATGTTCACAAAATTCCAATTCGATTAACCTGTACAGCGAAGTCTGAGGCTCCGACCACTTATAGTGTAGTCGTGAAGTCCGGCGAAAAGGAGGTCGTTCTTACAGCCCCGCCGGTTCCCAACTTCCCCCGAGGTGAGCTGGACACCTAACCGCCGTCTCTGCTAAACTGGTACTGACTACCAGAGCAGAAGGTGACGAGCCCACGTATTTACTCCCGAAGTGGCTATATATTCGTGACAAGGATGGACGCTACTTGAGCGTGCGGTCGGGTCCGACGTACCACACTCTGACTATCCGCGGCGGCGACGCCGATCGTGACTGCATCTTCCAAGCTGTCCCCAAAGGCAACGGATGGTATCAATTTCAGGGCAACAATGGGAAATATTGGGACCGTTACTACTCCGGCTGGCTTTCCTGCGACGACGCGGCCAGCGTACCCTTCTCATTCCGATTCATTCACACTGCCGACAGTTCGATCTATCTGACTGACAATGTCAATCCCACCGGATACTATATTTCAAGCGATCTAGACGGCAACGGCTCCCCTCTCTACTGGGATTTCATCAAAGCATCCTCCCGCTTTGAAGTCGTCCAGGCAGCTATCAAGAATGAGATCTACGACGTAAAGTATGAGATCTCTGGAGCCCAAGTGCGCGAAGCCCCTCCCTTGATCGTTCTTAGCACTTCCGTTCGCAACGACTCTGACTCCACCGTGACCCAAGACCTCGGATTCTCCTACACGAAATCCGAGTCCGGAACGTGGAACAATTCTGTCGGGGTCACGCTTGGAGTCTCGGCAACCTTTAAATCCGGGGTACCCTTCATCGCCAGCGTCGAGTGGAACATCTCTGTATCCGCGGAGTACAGTCATGAGTGGGGTGGGTCCGTTGGGGTAGAGAAGACAGTGTCTGAGTCGACCAGTGTCACTGTACCCCCGCACAAGAAGGCGCAGGCTACGGTCGTCGTGAGGAATGCCTTCCTTGACGTTGGGTTCTCGTACAAGGAGAGGGTGTTGTACACGAATGGCCAGACAGAGGACCTTCTGAAGCAAGGGGTGTATAAGAATGTAGATTCGTACCATGTCGACGTCGAGCTCACCAACTGGGAGCCTACTGACACCTAATAGGTAAGCCGTTTCCTCCCTTGGATTATCATTCAATGCTCAGTTCAACTTTTATTATGCAGACGACATCAGTCACTCCGCCTTGCTACATGCGAATATATCTTGAATGGTTTCGTGCACTTGAGGTGAATTGATTGTACAGTAGGTGTATCACAATCGAATGAGTCATTCTAAGGAGTACCCTCATAGGCTGAGACTCATGATTGAGGTGTGCACTGCTTTTTCAGAACGCCCCGACTCAAACGGGCCGTGGATCCAACAAGTGTTATTTTCCCGGAGATACTCGCGACCTCAGCTTACGGGTCAATGAGGCTTCAATATACATATCACTCATCACACAATTAAAGTTAACATTTGCAACAATGTTATCGCACTTTATGACGCGTCGGAGGATATTATACAGGCTCATACAGAGGACGCTAGAGCCAGTATATAACAGCTTAGGCTAACCTTAAAGAAAGTCGTAAGCATTGCGCTGCCTTCGGAAGTGACATTTCCGACGACCCACCTTCAATAGTGGTGGATATAGTTTTTGAAGTCAGTGACTAATTCGCGCACCTTCTTCGCTTTCTTGACGAGATCAAGCTTCTCCTCCATACGCTTTAGCGCCTTCTCAACCGATTTAATTGTGTCAATGTCAGTCCCATTGCTACGCATGGTCTGCAAGTTCAGGTCTAGCAACGAAACCGACTTCTCCACTTGGCCAGCGAAGTTCCCGGATAAGGAGAGCTTGGCGTACTCCTCAACTAGCTGTCCGACCTTTGTGATCGCCTCCGCCAACGCCATATCCATGTCCGCGATACTCTTTTTCAGCTGCGCCATTCCCATCTCCTGCTTTTCCTTCTCCTCTACCGCGTCATCGTACTTCTTCTTCGCATCTTCGTCGATTGTGATCTGCTCGTCCTCCTTGAGTTCCCACATGACATTGTAATGGCGGTGCTGTGTGTAAGGATGCTCGCATCCAGTACAATTCTCGACCCGACCGCCTTTGAAGGCTTTACAATTTCGGATGCCCTTGGGATCGAGCGAGAAGGAGAGGTGACAGTGTTTGTGGCAGTTGTGGTAGCACTTCGGGGTGGCGCATAAGGTATTGTGGTGCGGTGTGTCGACCTGCTTGTACACATTCTGCATGATCGTGCTTTGGTATGTTGCATATTGCTTGATCGTCTAGTAGAAATCGGCAGTGAGTGGAAGACGAGAATCGGACCCATAGCGGATATAATTCGTACTAATGTGGTACCATCAGTCTCCTTCTCAATCCTCTTCAATGTCGTTGTTTTGCTCGCCATCTGTTCCATTGTCGCAAAGGCGACAGAGATTTTCTTTTCGATATCTTGGGATTGAGCATAAAGCGATAGAATGTCCTTGGTAGGTTGAGGGGAGCGGGAGTCGATGAAGTCGAAGATCTTTACGAACTCGCCGAGCGCTTTCTTGTGTCCATCCTCGACCGACTGTTCCAGCGCATTGAGTAGCCTCTTCTGAGGCTTTCGTTGCCTTTCCATTTTCTGCTTTTCGCCAAGATATTTGTCCCGCATTGCAACAGGATTATCGAGGAGGTACAGATGGTCATTGCGTAAAGCGTCAGGAAGAGACTGCTCATCAAAATTCCAACTGAGTGGACTGGATACGTTGGTGAATAGAAATCCGATGTTATCAGCGAGCGTCTTAGGGAACATGGATGAAAGCGTGGACAAAGCGTAGTCCGTGGCGACCCCAAGACGCGGGACAGTGCCATTTGCGAGGATGATCACAGCATTGACTACCGTAATATGGTCTCGTATAGCTCGGGCGATGCTTTCTTTGTGTTGTTCGTCTTGGGCGATACCGCGAGTGTCCGCCAACCCTGGTGTATCGAGAATGCGAACGGTAATGCCGTTTTTACTGACGAATTGATATAGTTTTGCATTGTTGGTTTGACTATGTTTGGCAGAACCACCTGCCTCATTGCTCTCCTCGTGGTATTTTTTGTATGTCTTGGGAGTATTGCCTTGAAGTATATTCGCGATTAGAGACAGTACAGTGGTTTTTCCAGTGCCAGTCTCGCCTTGAGGGCAAACGTTATAGTATGTATTTCTCGAGGAATATATTGCACTTACCCACAACTAGGATGGTAAATTCCGTCTTGGAGTCGCTAACGTGGATAATACCTTTACCCAGATCGTCAACGGTGCTGTAAAGGACAAGTGCATGATCAAAAATAGAATCTAAAATCATTTTTTGAACCTTTCTCACTTCAAGGCTGGAGCATCCTCTGAATCCTCTGATCTGGGATCGCTGCAAAAAATAAATTTGATATGAGAATAAGAATCGTGTGAAATGTACTTCAGGTCATCTTGAGCGATGATATCCGGGGTTGAAGGACAACTTGTCACTGGACTGGAATACTGAGGGACGTCTTGAGTGGTATCACTTGAGTTTTCAGGAACGGCAGGGCTGACAGATGATATGAGATGGCGAGTAGTAGAATGAGAAGAAAAGTGAAGCACCAGGGCGGCACGATACTGAATGAAACTTCCATCTCCGATGTAGTCTCTGATATAGTAACGTGAGTGATGCTTTCACCCAAATCATCGACAGCACTGCAAGTGCATGATAAAAATAGAAGCATAAATCAACAACCCGTCTCACTTCAAGGTTGAGGCATCTGAACCAAAGTCACTGCGGAAGATGATTGAAACCGATGTGAGGATAAACGAGAATGGGAATTACCTCGGATTATATTGAAAAGTGCTATCCGGGACTGAAGGATAACTTGTCGCTGAATCGCTCATTGATTCAAGTGGTATTTCAGATGCTGCCACTTGATATCGCAGAATTTACAGGGCTGATAGACGATGTGAGATGGCGAGTATTTGGATGGGAAGAAATGAGAAGTACTAAGCAGGGGAACAAGAGAAGTTGAAAGCGTTGAGGGATCTTGACAGCGACAAAAGATATCTCGATTGGACCATTAGGCTCTTGCTACAGATTAAGTACCCCTTGATGATAATGCAGAATCAGCTGGAGGGTGGTCCAATCCCGTGTTCGGATACTACTGGTATGGGAGGAAGATCTGACGCCTGTGAAGGCCTATGCTGGTGATGATTACTGAATGAATGAACCTTCACATCCTGATGTAGCACTCAACCCTATACCCTACGCAGCATCGAAGACAACCATGGATGTATCAAAGCCAATGAACCCGAGGCTTATCAGATGTCTTACCTTGTGACAAACTTGACTTGCCTATTGTATACAGCTTCCACAACGGGCTACCCAAGCAGAAAACTTATACAGATTGACGTATGTTGAGTTTTTCATCTCCGTTCAAGTAGCCCCGAAGAAAAGTGGTCACTATCGTGCACGACCCTATACACATCACTAAATATGACCAAGAGCAGATCAAGACCAGACATGTGTACTGAAGATTCAGACTCGTACCAGAAAAACCCCAAGTCAGATCCATCATCACCCTGACCCTTTCTCATTGGTGACGATGGTAAGATCTCCAAAGTTAGAATTCATCGGGTGGGGATAGCGTAGTCTTCCAGTTTCCAGCCTCAACCGACAAATAACCAACACGAAAAACTCAAGTTCCAGGTTCCGGGAAGATCTTGCGTTCTTGCCTAGCGCCAGTTTTCTCAATGAGCATCTATTTGACTAGTACTCCGCCGAGGTATCACCAGTGGGAACTCCTTGCGGCAAGGACAATTTCACCTACTCAGAGGGAAGAGCTTGAAAGATCTAACAAATACATTGACCATATCCTCTCCTAATCCCTATTTTCCTGGGATGAGGTTACGGTTCACGAGAGAGAGGTGCATATATGTCGCTGATCTCAACTCTGCTCATCGGCGTCTGTGGGTCTACGTGAGTCACTTTCGCACCGTGCTGAGCTCGTCACATCATAATCTGTACCCCAAATCACGCAATACTGGGCTGCCTCCGTCTCTTGCTGGCGCGCTAGTGTCCGTGTCGATGCGTACGCTCTACCTGCTATATCCGTCTCAGCCGCGGACAGTACGACAAGGTTTCATTGGGTTTGTTGATGCATAAGTGCTAAAAAGTGTGTCAATATCGAGAAGGGGGAAGTGATACAGGACAGCTATGGATATGTGGTGAGCACCTTTTGCAAGAGACGAAGCGAGGTAGATGGTATTGTTCGACGGATCTTGCTCAGGCAAAAAAAAAAAAAA